GAAAGATAGATTTCTATACCCAACTGAATTCTTCGTATCTGAACTAGTTCATAGGAGAATGACGTTCAAGTGTTGCCTGCCCCTCCCCATTTCCACTCCACTGTAAAAAGCTCTTCCCTGTGCACCTCTTTTATGAGACTTTTCCAATTCTTCCTCTCCCCTCCTCTTCCAGTGTCACTTTTTATCATCTTTTTTTTTTGAGATCATTCCAACATAAATGACTCACATCCATACTGTCTATGTAGCTTTCTTCTAACTACCTTAATAATGTTAAAGTTCTTAGGATTTACATGTACCATCTTCCCAAATATGAATGTAAATAGTTTAACTTTATTAAGTCCCTTATGATTTCTCCTTCATGTTTACCTTTTTAAGCTTCCCTTGAGTCTTGTGTTTGATGTCCAGTTTCCTATTCAGCACTAGTCTTTTCATTAGGAATTCCTGAAAATCCTCTATTTCATCAAATATTCATTTTTCCCCTGAAGGATTACACTCAATGTTTCCAGGTCGGTTATTCTTGGTTGTAATCCTAGTTCCTTGGCCTATCAGAATATCAAAATCCTCTCTCCACTCCTTCATAGTGGCAGCTGATAAATTTTGTTCAATCCTGTCGCTCTATTGTATTTAAATGGTTTCTTTCTAGCTGCTTGCAATCTTTTCTCCTTGATCTTGTGACGTCTGGAATTTGGCTATAATTTTCCTGGGAGTTTTCATTTTGGGATCACTTTCAGAAGGTGATCAGTAGATTATTTCAATTTTGATTTGGTTCTAAGATATTGGTATAATTTTCCTTTATAATTTCTTGAAATATGATGCCCAGGACCTTTTTTTGATCATGACTTTCAGGTAGCTCAAAAAAATTTTTTTTTTTTTTTTTTAGGCAATTGGTGTTAAGTGACTTGCCCAGGGTCACATAGCTAGTAAGTGTCAAGTGTTTGGTCTGAGGCCGGATTTGAACTCAGGTCCTCCTGACTTCAGGGCCGGTGCTCTATCCACTACGCCACCTAGCTGCCCCCTAGTTCAACAATTCTTAAATTATCCCTCTTTTGTTTTCTAGGTCAGTTGTTATGAGTTATCTCACACTTTTTAAAAAATTTCTCTATTTTTCTTCTCAACTTTGTTTTCTTGTTTCTTGATGTCTAATGGACATCCACTTTCACTTGACCAATTCCAGTTTTTAAGTATTTCCTTCAGTGAGGTTTTATATGTTTTTTTTTTCATTTAGCCAATTCTGCTTTTTAAGGAGTTATTTTCATCAGCAAAATTTTGTACCTCTTTTACATTCTGGCTAATTTTGCTTTTTAAGGAGTTCTTGTCTTCAGTAAGGGTTTGTTCCTCTTTTATCATTTGGCAAATTTTGTTTTTTTAGGTGTTATTTTCTTCAAGTATTTGTTTGGGCCTCTTTTATCAAGCTGTTCTCTTTTCATTATTTTCTAGCATTGCTCTTATTTCTTTCCCCAATTTTTCCTCTACCCATCTTATTTCTTTTTCTTTTTTTTTTTTGCTTTTGCTCTTTTAAAAAAAAAAAAAAACCATTACTTCTCCCAGGAATTCTTGTTGAGTTTGTGTCCAATCTGCATTTCTTTGAGGCTTTGCTTGAAGATAGTTTCACATCATTCTCTACTTTTGAGTTTATCTTGAGCTTCCCTATCACCATATGGTCAAGGTTCTTTTTGTTGTTGTGGCTCCTTTTTTTCAACTTACTGACTTTAAACTTTATGTTAGAGTTGGGCTATTTTCCTGGGGGTAGGAGGTATCACTGTCCCAAGCTTCAAGATTCTTTACTCTTCTGTTTCCAGAGCTAGTTCTGATGATCTGTAAGTTTTTGGTGCTTTCAAGGAGGTATGACCCAGGGAGAGATGTGGCCACTCTTCTAGTGGTCTGCACTTTGGTCCTTACCCAGCTAGGAACCCTGCTCCCTTGCAACTGCAGGCACTAGTGCTCCTCTCACCCTGGAATTGCAACCTGGAACTAGGGCCTCTGCTCTCTCTTTGCCCTGTGACCACAAGGACTCCTCTTCACACTAGAACTGCTACCCAGGTAACGAACAATAGAATTGCCCAACAGCACCTGGTCCTGCATCCAATGTGACAAGAGTCCCCTGTAGTCTTCTCATGACCAGTTGTCCAATTCTCTCCTTGTCTCTGGATAGTGAGATCTCTTCAAACTGCTGTTGCTGCTGCCTCCAAGATCTACAGCTGATGTAACCAATGCTACAAATCTGTCCTTCCAACCTAAGTTGTCTTGGGCAGGAAAAAAAAAAGTCTCACCACGAGTTTTTGTTGATTATGCTGCTCCAAAATTAATTTGACACATTATCTTAAAGTTGTTTGGAGGAAAATGTTGTGAAGAGTTTGGTTTGAATGCTCCCTCTGCTCCACTATCTTGGTTATACTAAGTCAAGTCCAGTGATTCTTATATTTCCTTCACCTGTATTCAAGGTCTGTTTTTGATTGCAGAGAGAGTACATGTTCTTTCATCTTTTTTATCTAGTTCTAATATTTCTTACTGTTTCATGGAGTCATTTGTTTGATTTGTTCTAGTTTTCAAGGCATACATTAATCAGCTAAGGCTTAACACTTTCTCTTTTAAGCTATTTATTCTTCCAATTCTTTCCTCTAGATATTTTATTTATCTCTTGCTTCATTTCTCCTACATAATGCAGTCCTTGAAAATCCACTTTTATCTTTGAGTCTATGCTTGTAGTTATGACAATATCCTTATAGGTAGGATTTCGGGGCATCTCTGGATCCACAATTCTTTAAAGTACTTTATTCAACTTTCCAGCTTTAGTTCCTGAACTGAAGCTTTGATCAGGGCCAGTTTCTTCTCCCTGCAGTGTTTTTGGTTGGGGTGGTAGTCTTGATCAGTCTCAACCTGAGACTTGCCAATTCCTGAGCCAATAATTCACCTAACAAGGTTAGGTACTCCTGTATCTTTTAGATCAAGTTCTGAATATTTAGGGCCCTCTACAGCATCTCTGTACCTTGCAGCCCAAGGATGACCTAGTCTGTTTCTTGGCCTAGCGGCTCCCAACGTACAATTGTGGGTACCTGACCACCCCAAGGCCTTCTCATACGAACCCTCTGATCTTGCTTTCCAACATATGGCCTCACAGACTAAATGTGACTGGTTATGCTGGGTAGGTACCAGATTGGTTGCTTGTACTGGAGCTAGCTTTGCTGGTGGCCTCCTTTCCTAATGTCTGGGGCATTTTATTGATTCCTCTGCAGTGGAAGTAGTAGTATATTGTAATGTTATTGGATTCCTTAATCATTATTCAGTCTAGTGAGATGTTTAGGTTTTTTGCTAGAGTAGGTAACTTAAGTGCTTGTCTCCACTTTTGTAGCTATCTTGACTGGAAGGTATGTGTGTATGTGTACAGTCTGCATGAAGTCCATAGAGTGATTAGGTTTCAGAGTAATCATTATTCAGAGTAACACATACACTATCTACACAAATATATGTATAGACAACCCACCGCTGTTTTTGCTATCATCTCGGGTTGTCATTTCTTTTGGTTTATTCTCACAGTAACTACACTCACAAATAAACCAGGTAGAAGAGCATTAGATCTGGAATCCTTGACAACCTGAGTTCAAAGCCAGCCTCCAACACTTCCACACCATGATGAAAAGGCAGTTTGGCATGGTTGTTGGATTTGGACTTGGTAAAATCTGAGGTTGAATCCTGCCTCTAGGACTTACTGAATGATTCTGGACAAGTCATTTAATACCATTTACCTCTCAGGGTTGTAGTGAAGATTAAATGAGATATTTGTAAAATGTGATCTAAACCTTAAAGCACTATATAAATGTCAGCTATTAATATTAGTGAAAGCAGAGCTCTAATTTGAATATCAGGCCCATACACAGTTAGGAAATGTTAGCACCACCACCAACTAATGTAAATGTTGAATCTGTGATTATACTTGTCCACTGTTCTTCTTCATGGATTTTCTGTGAAAAAAAATTTCAAATTCAAAATTAGCTTTATTTCCACTATAAACTGACTGTGCCAAAGTCATCCTTAACTATATGTGCTTAGGCAACAAAATATAATTTTCATTTAGTGTAAAAAAAAACCCACACTGAAAGCCATAAAATATTGCAAAAAAGAAATCCTATTTACATTTTCCAAACTGTTCTTTCCTCTGAGTCTACAAAAATACTAAATCAGAAAATGTGATTTACACTATTTAAAGATACAGCCACTGAATTTTCTAGTTTCCTCAAAACCTTAATTAAAAACTGATTTGGTCAATCAAGAAAATAAAATCACCTCAAAGTATGCTCAGATCGCAAACAGATTACCTGATTATAATGGTAATCTAAGTATTTGAAGAACTACAAAAAGATCTAAGAACCATTAGCAAAAAAACTATAGTTCTGAAAATATACATTTTCTGATTCAAAAGCAATAAGGGTTAATATGATTAATTCTGAGTAGATAAAAATGGGAGAGAGTACTTTCCACTGAGTCTTATTTGTATTTCACTCCTATACCCTCATTTATACCAAAGTTCAACATTTCAAATAAATATATGTTCAACTACTCCCAAACAAAGCCTGGTAAAAGCAGGCTAAGGATGGGCCTAGGGAAGGTGTGTGTAGCTACATTGTTTTTCAGAATTAATTATAAATACCTGAATTATCTCAAGATAATAGCAAAAATCTTCATCCTTTTACATATACATAACAAATGTTAAAGTGCAGAATTATAGAGCTTCATAGAAATACAGACAACAATATTGTGCTCTGATTCATATAAATTTTCTACTGGCATGCAAACCTATGTTTATATGCTTACTAGATTTTTAAAAAACAGTAATGAACTTAAAATATACTGACAGTTGTTTAGATTTTTTTTTGGCAATTAAGAGAAATATAACAGAAGAGTGTATTAGTGGGGTAGAGAGTTCTTCAGAATAAAAATATAGATCCTGAAGCTAAAAATAATTTTCATCATATTCAACTCAACACAGAAAGTGATACAGAATGTAGTGTTTTCTTAGTTTATTAATTTATTTTGCAGGAATCTGCGACTCTCCGAATATGTACTGTTTGGAGGTACGATGCATGCATAGCCTTTTAATGCCTTTGTACAATTTCATCTCAAAATAATTTCATTCACAGCGTACACAGAAATCTAAAATAGAGACACCATATTTACAAGATTTATTAAGCTCTTGCTTTTTTAATGAAAAAAATGCGATCAATCCTGTTACAATAGGGAAATATGGATTAGATACATTATTGGTATCATCATAAATAAAAATTTAGAAATGCTCAGCTTTTTAAAAAAAAAAAAAAACTTTCCATGGCTTTGAAAAATTAAAATTAACTAATGTCATAATCCCATCAACCTTTGAAGGCTCAAGTCATGCAAAATCTACGTGTATTAAATATTTGAGGATGTAAATAATACTGAAAATGTACCTCTGGTGAATGTGGAAAATGCCATCAAAATTAAAAATAGGAAAATACTGTCAAATCTTTCCGTAAGATACAGTAGTGATGCAACAGTCAGTGCCCAATTATTCTGGCTTTGCAAAGTACACTTTTTACTTCTGGTTTTCTGCAGATATATATTTATGTATGTATGTATGTGTGTGTGTGTGTGTGTGTGTGCGCGCGCGCGCGCACGTGTGTGTATTACACACACAATCACTGTGGCATGAAGTCATTTCATTAACACTGGTAAAACTAAAATAACTGAACTTTTAACTAGAAAAAGACATTTTCACATTCCAGGATGTACCACTGACTTTTTTTTAAGATCAATTTTCCTATACATTTAAACATAATTTTTACCTTTTTGCTTTCCTCATTCATATTCATTTCAAAAGGAATTTGTGATTTGCTTTCAAAATCCTATATATAATCGTTGTCACAGAAAGACTAGTTATGAGATCCAGATAATTGTGACATATAAAGCAATAACAAAGTTTACTGAGACATTGATTTCTTTTTCATCATAATCAAAAAGTACTAAGATTGAGACCAGCTCTTTAAAAACATTACACTGCTCATCACACTTACCATTTTGTGGCAAATACACAAACATAATAGCACCACTCCTCTCCCTACTATCATTAATCTGTTGCTCTAAAACTATTGCTTTACAAATGCATTTTCTTCAGCTTCCTTTATCAACCAGCTCCTTCCCTGACCCCTCCTCAGCCCTCTAACTCTACCACCAAAGAGAGTTAACAATATCAATTCAATGCATTTTAGGGTGCTTGGAAGGACTTTGGCTCCTCTATTCTCAATTAAAATTTTAGAGAACTATTCCATAATTTAAGATAGTTAAATATAACTTTTAAAAAAAAAGCTTATCAGTATAGTGAAATAATGTCATAAAAGTTTGTTCTACTGTGTACATTACCATCTGTATCAACCTAGTAGCATGTTAACAGAAATGCTGTTATTAGAAACCAGAAGTACACTGACTGACCAAAACAGCATCAGCATATTACCTCCCAGGCTGGATTGGAGTTAATGTAATTTTCAATTATATGCCATTGTCTGTCTATGCCAATATTACTAGATTCTAATTTTCAAAGGCATTGCCCACTTCTTAAATTTTGGTGACTTAATGCTTAAATTGGACACAGGCACACATTTTTTATACGCTAAATATTTAAGCATATCTAGTCTATCAGTGGCAAAGTTTCACTTTTTAAAAAAATAATGACAATCTAAACAGAGTCAGAAAATTAGCATACACAAAATCTCCTTAAAATTAACCTCTACTTCTCTTATATCCACTCTAAGTAACTATCCAAGCACATCTTTTTTTTTCCCATTTTCCCTGGCAGGTGAAACCTATGATTGACTAATATCACCCAGTACCAGAAACCATGCATCTACTGTATGGTAACAACTTATTTACTTTGATGTATTTCATGCAGAATTTCCTAAAAGCCAGTTTTACAGGGTCTTAATAAAATATCAAAATATTTTCAAACATGCTACTTCCATTCTCAGCTGAATAACTGATAAGAGTCAATTTGGTTGCTGCCACTCTAAAATGCCAGCATACTTCAATGGTTAAGTTTTTAGCTGGAGTGACACCAAGCAGTATTTTACCCCTAAAATATTATTTTTAAAAAGGGCTGACCATCAATAAACAGATGTGAAACCACAGGAAGGCAAAGACACTGGTGTATAGAAACAGTAGGACTGGTACATGACTGCTGAAAACACAAGATTAACAGATACCAGTGTTACAGAACCCTTTGAAAAAGCATTGTCAATAATTTTTTTTTTGTTCATCTACTTTCTCACCACTATTTTCAGTTTTGCCATGGTTGTGGTAGAGATGTTTTTTATCAGTGTGATTCCACAATTACACACCAAAATGCTTATTCTGTGAGACAAAATGACACATTTTAGATATTCTTCCACAGATGAGAAAAATACCTTTGAGGTTGTGCTGGAGGATGAAATCATTAGAATTTTGATGGACTCTGATTGGGTCATTGATAGAAAACTATTAAGAGCTCTTGATGCCTTTGGTTTTGTTATATTTATTAGTGCAGCTTGCTTCTCAAGATCTGCCAGAGATCAATTTTCTAATAGAGTAGTACAACTGGTTTCTCTTTACTAATGGCAGACCTACTAACTTTACAGCTGTCTTGATTCATCAACATGAGGAAAAATTACAGAATCCTAATCTGAGCAAAGTAGGAAAATGGCATCAGCGGGAGAGAAAATATGTGTTCTTTAAATTATACTAAGAAAGTGGAATAATAAAATCCCTTATACCTAATTTTCCATTAGTGGTGATATCTTAATCCATCATATATGATCTTTACTTTACATTCATTTACCCACACTCCAAAGCTGTGGTTTCATAAACATGGAGTGCTGTAATACAGCTATTTAGATTTCATGAATGATTAATATTACCTTTGAATAAAGGATATCAACTTCATAGCTATACTAGTTGGATTTAGTTTGAAAATCCTCTGTATTCATCATTCTACTAGTAACATTTCCTGACCAGCCCTTTATCCCTTTATTTCCCCAAAATGCAATGGACAACTTTACAAAATTAGCCATGTGCAATTTCCAACACGCTGGTTTATTAACAATGTGCAAATAAACCTTAATAGCTAATATTGATTATATTTCAGCTAAATCAGGATTGTGGCACAAATTACTGTCTGTGCTGTAAACATCATGAATTCTTCACAAAATTGGAAGCTGAGAAAAGGCCTAGGTAACAGGGTGCCAACACTTTTCATACATAACCACAGCTGAGCTCAAGTATTCCAAATGGAATCTGGAACTGGTCTGCATCTGGCATCCATTCACTGTACTACTAGCAAAGCACAGTCTGATGAGTGTCACATATAAAAGCAGACTTTATGGGGACTTGTTAGCTGTAAAAACACAACAGCCTAATAAAAGCATGCAGTAACTTTTTTTTATCCATTATGTGGCATAATTAGGTCTCTGTTAGTTACCAGTGTTGATACAGCTTAACGAATGCTGTACAAGCAAAAGGGATTTTACCACCTCTGATTGTACCTTCAGTAAAATAAGGCTCATGCCTATGTCCTGACATATGTGTGTGTGTGTGTGTGTGTGTGTGTGCGTGTGTGCAGAGATTGAAATTACCCCTGAAGAAAGCAGCAATTACAAACACCCTCTGATTACTCTGCATACAAAATAATCTGGTTGCTTTTTCCTGACTTCTTTTTCAGCAGGATACAACCTGGCAGAGCAGGGAAGCGTTCTTTTCCAGCACGCTGTGATCAGGTAAGTCTGCACTAGCATGTCACAGTTTGTCTGGATTACTGTAACAGTTTGCACTGTGACTCAAAGTTCTAAGTTTAAGAAATAAGGGCCACTGAGCAGTAAATATAGCCATAGGGATTAAACAGGAGTAGCTCTTGGCTTTCCTGTATACATTCTTTGAGGAGTGAATCCTTTCCTGGTTTCAAGTATCCCTTCAACATAGCACACAATGTGGTTAAGAAAGAAAAACATCCCCCTCATTTTTTTTCTTTAGTGTGGTAGACAAGTGGATACTATTTCAAATCTCCTTCCCCTTGGGAAATTGGAAAGGAAAACACTGATCAGATGGTCTGAAGGAGTCGCCAGGTTCCCTTTTCCTCTGTGGGTGCTCAGAATTTCACTTTCAGCCTCAACAGCCTCCTCTTGATTCAAGTGTACCTCGGCATCTCACACTGCTCGCAGCGATTTAATGCCGGGTGATTCAGAAAGGTGCAACTCTCACAATTCCACGGAGCCCCTTCAAAGTCTTCATCTTGTGGCTGGGTCCTTGGAGTCTGTTTGGGAGGTGCATGTTCTGAGGAAGAAAAGGCAAGAGAATAGACCTTTCCCTACTTACAGCAAACACTGCTATGGTGGGAGCAATGCACACAGGCAACCAGAAAGCAATTACATGGTAGGTTTTCAGGGGCGAAAAAGTAAGCTAAGAATTTGTACACACATATTTTCACTTTTCTAAAACCATTATTTTTACCTCCTCATTAAGAGATGGAAATGAACACATATAAAACGTACTGTTAGCTAAGCAACTGTTTCAAGTTCCCCCAATGCTAAATTTTGCCCATATTTACTATCTTTGCTAATTTGATGGTCGCGAGCCGATACTTCAGATATCTTTAATATATAGCTGAGAATACTGATCGAAGTGGGAGAAATAATGGAATAAACATTCCACAGCATCTAATTATAAAAAATTCCTTTTTTTAAAATATTTATCCTCAGGTACAATTTCTTTTCCCAAAGTGATTTTCCTCAACTTTAAACTTCAATAAAGCACAGTCGATTCCACACAATTAAACATTTGATTTCTATGCTTACTGTGAGTTTCATGTATGTAAATTCTGCATGTGTCAAAGTCCAAGTAAGGCTTGTCTTCATTAAGACTACAAAATTCTTCAGCACAGGGCGGGTACACGTATTTTCCTAGACCCCTGCAGAACCTAGCACGGTAGCAGGTTCGTAAGAGAAGTGTGACATTACGGATGGAGAAGACCTGGATCAGGATCAGAAGAGTAGGAACCTTGCTCTAGCTTTACAAATTAATAGCGATATAACCTTGGCTAAGTCACACGTCCTCGGAGTTGCAGTTTCCTAAGTTACAAAGTGAAGACAACACTAACTAAACAATCTTTCTCACAAACTTCTTAAGCTCAACTGAAAAAGATCTCAGTCTAACCTTTGTTTTACAGACGCGGAAATTCTAAGGCCCAGGGAAGACAAGTGACTTGCCTGGAGAGCTGGTGATCATCAGTGATGATATCTGAACCCAGGTGACCTAACAAACAATGCTTTATTTGTAGGAATCCCACTGCCTTACACTAAAATGCATGACTGAAAGCACTCTATAGATGGCAAAGCATTATTACATAAATGTATCATATTTTTGCAGTCAGTGGTCGTTAAGTCTACAGCAATGATTCAGAACCACTGAGTTTCCATTTATAAATATTGTTAAAAGTGGAGAGAAAGTTAGAGGCCTACAAATAATGAGCTTTCCATAATTGGGGGACAGGGTCAGGAAATGTCACCCTCTGTAAAAGAATCTTTAAACAAATTATTGGCACATTTTGTTTTGACATAAACATTCCAACATACTCACCTACAAACTGACTACATTTCAGTACATTTCCTGAAAAGCAAACTGGCCTTTATAAAAAATGATTAGAATGGGTACTATGTATCCCTTTCTACTTTTGCCATTTACCTTTTTTAATTTTTTTTAATTTTTTTATTATTTTACATTTTTTTCTTTTTTCTTTTTTAAGGCAATTGGGGTTAAGTGACTTGCCCAGGGTCACACAGCTAGTAAGTGTCAAGTGCTTGGTCTGAGGCCGGATTTGAACTCAGGTCCTTCTGACTTCAGGGCTGGTGGTCTATCCACGGCACCACCTAGCTGCCCCCATTTACCTTTTTTGAGAAGAAGATTATAGGCTAAATCAGTAATTTGGTACTGATGTTGTCTATTCATTATATTTCCCTTGCATTTGTTGTCTTTCCATGTTGTCTTGATTTTCTTTGTTACAATCACGTGTCCTACTGTCAGGCTCTCCTTCCTGAACCCTGCAGCTCTTTACATAAATCCACTCAAGTTTCTCTGAATTCTTTCTATTCATTGTTCCTCATGGTGCAATAGTATTTCATTATATGTCTATCTACAATTTGTTAATTAATTTCCCAATTACTAGACATGCTTTTCCCAAAGTTTGTTATACATAGTGCTGCAATGGATATTTTTGAACATAAAGTCTCTACTTACACTCAAGAGAGTTTGAATGATGTAGTATTGTTTATTCCTTCACTCCAAATTATTTTCCTGAACGGCTGGACCAATTTCTAGCCTTATCAGTAGTGAATTAATATCCCTGACTTCTTATTGTCCTTTTAATACTGACTTTTTCCATCTTTTATAACCTATACCAGTTTGATGGGGATGAGGTGACACCTCAGCATTGTTGGAAACTGAATTTACAAAGATGAATACACAATGGATAAGTCATTTGTAGGAACCTTGGCACTCTGCTTTTGACACAGCTTTTTAATGAAATTTAGGCAGCAAGAAGCAACTACAATAAAATATAACTTTCTTTGATTATCCTCCCCACCCCTGATCATCCATAGGTAAACTGCAAAACTAGAACCTGCACAGCCAAGGACCAGAGCCTGGATTGTAATGTCTCTACTAAGGCACAGACACCTGGAAAGATCCAATCTGATAGCCAGCTCAAACTGCAACAGAAAATACCAAAATTATCCTTCTGAGTTCATTCCCTCCTGACAATGAAATGACCCTGGTACAGGCCCTCATTAGCTCATGCCTGGACTACCAAAATAGCCTTCTAGTTAGTCTCCCTACCTCAAGACTCCCCTCAGTCTAGTCCATCCTCCACTCGGCTGTCAAAGTGATTTTCCTAAAAAACAAGTCTGATCACTTCACTATTCAATAAACTCTAGTGGCTCCCTATTACCTCTGGGATCAAATATAAAAATCCTGTTTGGTTTTCAAAGTCCTTCACAACCTGGCACCTTCCTCCTTTCCAGTTTTTATACCTTACTCCCTTCTGTGTATGCTTCAATTCAGTGACACCCCCCTCCTTTAAGTTCCTTGCACATGGCTCTGTCTCACAATTCTAAGCACTTTCATCTGCTGTGCCCCATGTCTGGAATGCTCTTCCCTCCTCATTTCTGCCTCCTAACCTCCCTGGTTTTCTTCAAGTCTTAAAGTCTTGCCTTAGGTAAAAAGCCTTTCCCAATCAATCTTCGTTAATCTTAGCGTCTCCTATCTGAGATCACCCACAACTTGTCTTGTACATATTATGTTTATAAGTAGTTATTTGCATGTTGTTTCCCCCTATACACTCCGAGTTCCTTGACAGAGGGGTTGGCGTTTTTTGCCTTTGTATCATCAGATCTTAGCACAGTGCCAGGCACATCTCAGACACTTGATAAATTCTAGCTGACTGCCCCTCTTGTACTCTGACATGCAGCCATATTAGCCTTCTCCTCTACTGCTATAACACTCTTCATCTCCTGTCTTTGTGCCTTTGCATTAGCCAACATTTCTTATGTCTGGAACATATTTCCTCTTTACGTCCACCTAACAGAACCCCTTCTCTTCCTTTAAGATGCAGTTCAAGTAGCATCTTCTACATTATCTTTCCTGACATCACCAACTGCTAACGCCCTTTCTCCCCATCTTCATTAACTTCCTTGCATTTGTTTGTATTTATTCCATATACACTAACATAGGGACTTGGTATCTTCCTTGTTAGAATGTAGGCTCCTTGAGAGTAGCGATAGTATTATTCTTTGTATTTGTATAGCAAGAACTTAACAAATGATTGTTGACAGATGACTGAGAAAACAGTTTTTGTTTTTAAGGAGCATCTTGAGATTACTGGAAGTAAAAAGCTGAAAAGCAATTCATTTTCTTCTTCCTATTCAAGTCAGGTCCCAGCTCTGCTCATCTGCCCAAGATACATATATTTACAGATTAATCAAACAGGCTGCCCATCTAGCTGCATGCCAAACTCTAAAACTGTAAAACTGAAAACTGACACCGTACTTTATTTTGTATTATTTATTACTGATTGGGTATCACTACTTATGGATCAGATTTGGACTTGATTGATTGGCTTTAGTGGTAGATTTTGTAGGAGTTTAACTTTCCTATTCCTGTGGGCCACAGCCTGACCACAAAGATTCAAAATCTATGAAGTTCTGATGACCATGGAGGGATGTAAGTCAACCTGGTCATAGGATGTTTGCCCAACACCAAACTTTCAGGAGGATGTCAGTCAAACCCAAGTTTTTTTCTCCATCATCATGGGTCCTGGCAACCCTCTGAGTCAAGTCAAATGTAAACCTACCCTCCATCTTTGTGTTAGACCAATTACAGTCTGAGTTTAATTTACATCATTGGACTATCTCTGGTACCTGATATAACCTGCTACCTTTTCAACTGTAGAAAAGAGTTGCTCTAGCTATTATATGCATCCCCGGTTAATGAGGAGCCTTGGATCCCATTTACTGGCAATTGCTAGCCTTCCTAACAAACTGATCATGTTCAGAATTCTGTGTCTCAATTTTTTTTTTATTGCAGATTTTTATCATGGTAGTGGTCTCCAAATTTTTGATTGCACAACCTTAGCAGTAAAAAATGAACAAATTTGAGCCCCTCTCTCTATGTGTAAAAAAGCATTTATAAATTATACATATGTTACTGTGCCAATTATTATGCACACCAGAAAACCTACACAAAGATATAAATTTAAAAAAGATAAGACAAAAATGAAATAATAGTTGCTCCTAAAGGCAACTGAAAGCCACTAGAGTTCATGGAATAATGGCACTTACAGTGAGCTTCACATCTGTGTGCCACTTCTCCTGCCCTTGTAGCTTGTTCTCTCAGCCCCACGGAGATGGATGAGGTCTTTTCCTCAAAGCGGAAAGTCTCTAGTTGGTACATTACTTCAGGGAGTTATCAAAAATTGGGCTTAATCTCCATCTTTACTAGTCTCATTCTTCTGGACTCTACTGTCCTCTCTGAAATTACCTTTCTTCAGTCCCTAGGTTAGCAACTGAAGCAAGTTGTGAGTGTGTCTCAAGAGTATCCCTTAGAATGATGCCAAGAGATAATCTGAGAACCTGGGTCTCTCCTATCTATTTTCCTAACTCCTTCTTCTGGCTTCCTATTCCCTCTTTTGTTATATTAGTTAACTTTAATTACTGCTGTATTCCTGGTCGTCTCCCCCCTTCACTCTTGTCTCTAAGGTTCCCTATAGTTCCACAGCTTTCCCATTTCTTTCTTAAACATTAAGGGGTGTTTTGATTCTTGGGCCTCAACTCATCTTATGCTGGGTTACACTCAGACTCTGATAAGGCATGAACTCTAAAAAATACTGAATGCCTAAAATTAAAGTGGCTTTAAGAGTTACAGGACTGTCAGTGTGGAAAGAGGTGGGAAGTGGTATGAGCACCTGATGGAATGACGACTGAGTTGGTGGTGTTATTTTTTCAGAATCTTTCACTTACCCTCTTCCCGTCTTTGCCGAGTTATCTGCATTTTGGGGACTTCTTATTTTTATTATTTTGGCATTATTATCAGAGAACTGCCCCTAGGAAATCTCTAACTTACCCCAATCTTCTCAAGATTCTTCTCTCTTTCTCTTTCTTAGATTTGTTCTTGACTTTGCCCTCTGCTGTTTCTACCTAGCCAATTGTCCAAAAGCCTATGGATATATGATTCAAAAACAAATTCAGTCATTTGTTATCTAACAGGATACACCAATTTCATTTTTAATGACATTGTTTGGCACTTGCTGGGTGCAGTACCCTCCAGCTTTCTTCCTGAAGTTTCCAAGTAGCTTGCCATCCTTTGGCTTCATTTGTTTCTTAACCCTGAGCCATCTTATCCAACAATTTTTAAACCAAAGCTTTCCATACTACCATAACAAACGACAATGTATGTGCCCGAATGCTCTGGAGGATTTTGATGAACTCGTCCTAGAGTTTCTCTATCGCTCATCCTCTGCAACAAATTAGCTGTAATTACTTCAAAGTGGTCTTTTTGCTCATTTTCCTCATGAGCAACGTAAGAAGAGATAACCAAATATCCTATGGAATGAGTTTTCTTACAGCCTTCTGAGTCTTTCACCTTGACATAAAATCTGCCACAGCTAACATTCCACTGGGGCAACTTTGGGAAATCCAGGTTAACTGCCAGACATGCTATGGCACTGGAGAAGCACAAGCAAAAAGTATGAATGTTTCAACACAAACCAAAGTGAAAACAAAAAATATCCATATATAAAGATATCTCTATGTATTTAAAGGAAAACTAGAGTAGTTCTACTTTCATAAAGCTGTAGTATTTCAAAACAGATTATACTTTTAAATGGCTGAATTTTAAAAAGTTCAACTTAGGGATATAATTTTCATGAAATTTTATATTGTGATAATTTGTACAAAGATACTCACCATCAGCAGTAGTGGCCTGGGAATCAAGGGGGTCCAACTGTACTTTGGAGGTCACACTGATTCTTCTGGCTTTTCTTTCTGTTGTACAGGGATCTGAAGTCTCTGCACAAAACAAATTAGAACCACAGAACAGAGCATTACCTAGAAGATTAAATTCTATAACAATCACCAAGTACTAAGTTACTCTCTAATTTTTTTGTATAAGTTAGTTCTATTTATTTAACCAATCAACAAGTATTTACTAAGTGCTTATTACTCACCAAGCACTGGGTTAAATGTTAGAGATACAAAGACAAAACAAAAGTCCCTAACCTCAAGGAGATTACATTCTAATGGGGGAGACGATACATTCAGAAATGATAAATACAAATAAGATGGAAGGTACTCTTACAGAGGAAGGCATTAGCAACTGTGAGGACCAAAAAAGACCTTTTACAATTCAGGAAATAGTACTTGAGAGAGTCTTAAAGGAAGACAGATGGTAGGAGAGAGAGCACTCCAGGAGTGTTGAACAACCAGCAGTGAGGCAGAGACAGGAGATGGAGTATCATATTGTGAAGATCAGAAAGTATAATATTAAGACTTATCCACCTAAACTAATTTACTTATTCAGTATCATACCAATCAAACCAAAAAATTATTTTATATAGCTAGAAAAATAAGAAAATTCATCTGGAAAAACAAAATGTCAAGAATATCAAGAGAATCAATGAAAAAAATGTGAAGGAAGGTGGCTTAGCTGCACCAGATCTCAAACTATACCATAAACCAGTAATCATCAAAACAATCTGGTATGGGCTAAAAAATAGAGTGGTGGATCAGTGGAATAGATCAGAAACACAATACACACTGAGCAATTAGGTGGCTCAATGGATATTGTACCAGGCCTGGAGTCAGAAAGATTCATCTTCCTGACTTCAAATCTGGCCTCAGTCATTTCCTTAGCTATGTGACCCTGGGCAAATCACTTAACACTATTTGTCCCAGTTTTCTCATCTGTAAAATGAGCTGGAGAAGGAAACGGCTAAACACTCCAGCAGCTCTGCTAAGAAAACCCCAAATGTGGTCACGGAGAGTCAGAAACTAAGAAAGTGACTGAACAACAACAACAACAACACAGTAGTAAACAACTACAGTCATCTCGTGTTTGATAAACCCAAAGATTCAAGCTTTTGGGACAAGAACTCACTATTTGACAAAAACTGCTAGGAAAACTGGAAAGCAGCTTGGCAGAAACTAGGTATAGACTAACATCTTGCATCCTATACCAAGATAACTGTAAAACAGATACATGATTTAAACATAAAAGATGATACCATATGCAAATCAGGGAAGCACAGAATGGTTTACCTGCCAGATCTATGGAGAAGGGAAGAATTTGTGACCAAGCAAGAGACAGAGTGTTCTGGATATAAAAAGCATAATTTTGATTACATTAAATTAAAAGGTTTTTGCACAAACAAAACCAATGAAGCCAAGATTAGAAGGAAAGCAGAAAACGGGAGGTGGAGGGAGGAATTTTACAGCAAGTTTCTATAATAAATGCTTCATTTCTTAAATATATAAAAAACTGAGTCAAATTTATAAGACAATTCATTCCCGAATTGATAAATGGTCAAAGGATATGAACAGGCTGTTTCAAATGAAGATATTAAAGCTATCTATAGTCAAATAAAAATGTTCCAAATCACTACTGATTAGAGAAATACAAATTAAAACAACTCTGAGGTACCATCTGACACCTATCAAATTGGCAAACATGACAAAAAAGAAAAACGACAAATGTTGGAAAGGATGTGGTAAATCTGGGACACTAATGCAGTGTTAGTGGAGTGTGAAATGATCCAACCATTCTGGAGAGCAATTTAGAACTAGGCTCAGAGAGCTATAAAACCATGTATGCCCTTTGACCCAGCAATACCCTTACTAGAGGTTTAAAAAGAGAAAAGAAAAAGAAAAGAATTCCATGTACAAAAATATTTATAGCAGTTCTTTCTGTAGTGGCAAAGAATTGGAAACTGAGAGGATGTCCATCAATTGGGAAATGGATTGAACAAGTTGTGGTATCAGATTGTGATGGAATACTACTGTGCTATAAGAAATAATGTTTTCACAAAAACCTGGACTTTCATGAACTAATGCAAAGTGAAGTGAACAGAACCAGGAGAACATTGTACATGGTAACAGCAATAACGTACAATGATCAACTGTGAATGACTTAGCTCTTCTCAGCAATACAGTGATCTAAGACAATTCCAAAGGACTTATGATGAAAAATGCTATCTACCTTCAGATAAAGAACTGATGGAATCTGAATGCTAATCAAAGCATATTTTTTAAAATTTTATTTTTCTTGTGTGTTTTTTGCCTATGTTTTCTTTCACAACAAGACTATGGAAATGTGTTTTGCATGATTGTACATGTGTACCTTATACAAAATTGCTTGCCTTCTCGATGAGGGGGGGAATAGAGAAAGCAAGGAAGAGAATTTCAAACTCAAAATTTTTAAAAATGAATGTTAAAAACTTTTACATGTAATTGGAAAAAAGATTAAAATATTTAACACTGAACTATAGAGTACATAAAAGAGAGCAAGACTAGAAAGACACAGGAAGGGGCCAAGTTGTTCAGCAGTTTAAATGTCAAACTACATTTATATATGATCTTAGCGGCAACAGGAGCTGAGTAGACAAAGGATGGATAAATAGATCTGGAAGTTATGTGCACAGAGATAACAACTGAACCCATCATAGTGAAAAAAGATCATTAAGTGAGACAATATAGCAGGAAAAGAGTACAGGGCCTATGACAGTTTTGGAGATGAGGGCCTATGACAGACAACCATGGCTGGTGAACAAGAGACGGATAAAGATCCAATAAAGAACAATGAGAAGGTAAGACAGACACAGAGGAAGAAAACCAAGAGAAGAACCACAAAAACCTAAAGAGGGAAGAGTATCTAAGAGATTCTCAGGAGTATCAAATGCTTCAAAAGTCAAGGATGAGGACTAAGCAAAGGTCTTTAGATGTGGCTATTAAAAGATGACTGATAATTTTGGAGAGAGTAGTGTCAGCTGGGTAAAGAAATCAGAACCCAGATTCCTAGGGCGAGTGAGGATTAAAAGGAGAGGAAGTAAAGGCAATGAGTTATAGACAGCTTTTTCTACAAATTTTTGAGATAGCTATGAAATAAAGGAGAGAGATAGGATGAAAGCTTGTGGAGGCAGTATGGGAAAGTGGTTTTTTAAGGATGGAGGATACATGGGTATGTTTGCAGGGATCAGGGAAGGAACCAATAAATGGGAAAAGATTAAAAGTTAGAAATGGGACAATTATGGGGACAATCTACCAGAAAAGATGAGCAGTGATAGGGTCAAAGTCACAAGTAGAGGGTTTGGCCTTGGAGAGGAAAAGGGTCACTTTATGTTTTCCCTATTTATTTTTTATTCTCAACTTAACATCATCAAATAAAATAAGCATTTTATATATACTGAATAATAAGACAATATTGTATATGAAATTATGAATTTCTAATATATTAAGTTTGCCTCTCTTTTAAAGCATATAATAAATTCAATATGTAACTCTCCTGCTTATCTGTGATTCTTTCTGGCCTTCCTTCTGTTTTCTCCTCATTTGAAGTGGGGAGGAACCTCATCCCAATCTGACCTCCTTTGCTCTCTCCTTCCACAGTGGGGAGAAAAAGAAAAAATAAACTATTGTAAAGGAGCATCTCTTCAAAACAACAGGATTAAAGGAGGAGACCATGGGAAATTCAAAGGATTTGGGAATGCAGAGTAAAGGAAAGGAAGAAATCACAGTATTCAAAGATCTAAATTACTTATCCTCAACCTCTATCTCCCACAACTCCCCTTCATATGTGCTGCCCTCTGGCCAAAACAGAAAATTCACTGTTTGCCAAACATGCCTTGTATTTGCCCACCTCCTAGTGTCTACTGACTCCAGTTTTGAATTTTATTCAATCTTCAAGGCCTAGGTTAAATGTCACTCTCTCCATGATTTTTTCATATGTGACTGCTCACTCTTTTCTGAATTCTTATATAGCACTCTGTTCCTTTGTTTCCTATGAAGACTGTTCATAATACTGTGCCTTGATTTATAATTATTTATGTATATGTCTTATTTTCCCCTTACTGTGCCTTGAACTCTGGAACCAAGCCTTTGTAATCCCTCAATGAACCTAGCAGATTGCTTTCCTAGAGTAGGTACTCAATATATGTTGAATGACTATCAAGTGCCAGGGGGAAAAGAAGATACAAAATAAGAAACTGAAGGTATATTCCAAAATTAAGTTGACTGATCCAGTAGGATGCCAGGTCTTTGATGGCAGGGACTACTCCATTTCTGTCTTGTTATCCCCAGCACCTAATACAATGCGACTTGCACATATGAGGCACTAAATAAATATTTGCTGAACTCAACAGAAAACAACAGAAATAATAACCAGAGAAGCTACCAACAATAAGAATCAAATCTTAGGTAACTGTTTATTAAAACAATAAACAATTGTTTTTTACCTGGACAATTATAACTTACTACTAATCATACCAATGAATTAGTAAGATAATACCATGTACTGTCAAAATCCAGTGTGCTGACAGCTCTGCTATTCAAGATCGGTGGATCTTGCGTACACCATTTCATATAATATTACTGATGGACAATTTCCAAACATGTCAAAAGAACCTGATGCAGAAGTGTTAATGAGTTCGAGCTGTTTTTTTTTTCCAAGCTGAGTTTGGATTTGTAAAGCTATTTATATACTACTGTTTTTGTTTTTTACTAGTGATGATAGTCTATGAATAGTACAATGGGAATTTAGAGGAAAGTTTCTGGGCAAGAGTAATATGAAGATTTTAAGCTAGCATATTTTAAATAGTTAAAAACACAGCAAATAACTCTAACTACTTAATGCTACTTGACCAATTTATTAGCATGATAAGAATTTTATTTGTTTTTTTTTTTTTTAAACGAAGATGCTGATTTAAACTAGAATTTCTTTTCTCCAAATTGTACTTGCTCAGGGTAAATTAGAAAGTCTGAAGCTCTGGTTATATAGCAAACAAACTTCAAAGGACAAA